ATTCCTGCTATTTTTCATGTTGCTATCTTGTTAATGCTGACTTGGCCTTTTGCTTGTGTATCCTAATGCTTGCTTTGTGTTTTGGCATCCATAGAGGAACCTCAATGTAACTTTATTCTGGCCTGTAAAAAGATCAAGCTGTAGCCCTTAGAGTAGAAAAAGGTACCAGTTCAAGATTGTGTGTGAACTCAAAAATGTGTATTATTATATTTCTCAAAAAAAGCTGGAATGAAATTAAGTTATAATTCAATAGTTCATTCATTCTCTGTTATGAGAGTTGTTGTAAATTTTACTCATTTTGTGAGTTTCTGGCAAATCTGATAACAGATTCCTTACATGAGTAGAAATTAACTTGTTTTCAAAACTAACCTCATTCTCCTGAAATGTTGCAGAAAATGGGCTTTTCTAATTCAGACAAAATCTGAAATCAACCCAATTACATCTGTTTAGATAGCCACATCTGTTCTACTGAAGCATCCTGTTCTGGTCTCTGCCAGAGATAGGATACTGTACTGTGCTACAGGGGTCTGTAGCAGATTTGGCTTAGCATAGGAATTCTTATTTCTTATGTCATTTCAGATTTAGTCAGCAGCAGCTAAACCCCTCAGCAGCTTTAAAAAGGGTGGCTATAGGGAAGACCAGGTATGATGCAGTGTCAGATGAGTTTTTGCAAGCATTCACTATGACTGAAACTTATTAAGATAATTTTTTTAAAAAAATATAATGTGTAGAAGAACAAGCAATACTTCTAATGTGATAATCTTTTATCCAAATTTTTAATGCTGCTTTTCTTTCTTGTGGTTATAAATTTCAAAGGAAAGCCAGTTCAATTATTTAAAAATAGGTATTTTATATAGAAATCTTCCTGGGTACTCAAAACTGCTCTATATGCTGTAAGACTTGTTGCCAAATATATAGTGTCCTCTTGTCCTTTTGTGTGAAGTCAACCCCTGTGCTCATCATCTCTGCAGTAGCTGTCAAACTGCTTACCTCACCAAGGTGCACTGCAGGAACACTACTAATAGCTTTTAGCACACCAATTAGATAAAAATTGAGTTCATAGTTTGACAGTGAATGGCTTGGGCTCAGTATCTTTCATCTGCTGTCTTTTCTATTTAGTAGAGACACAGATATATTGCCTTCTGTGCGATACAGATTTTTAAAAATATTTTCTCTTCTGTAAATAAACACACAAGAGCTAATTCTCAAACTCAAACCTATTGTTCCACTGTTGATTTGCTAATATTGATTTTGAACCAGATCCATATAGTTTGTGTACCTGAAAAATCCCTAAAATGGTTTTTTAGAATATGAAGTTGTCGTGGTTTATGCAGTCTTTCAGAAGGAGGTGAAAAGTAAAATGTAGTGAAACTATGTTATAAATATGCAGATTTTAAAAAGAAAGCCATTTTTTGGCTTGGTTTTTGAATCCATCTGCCGATTACATTTTTTAAGTTCAAACAGCAAAACTACTTCTGATTTAACTATTACATATTTGGCAAGCTTAATAAAGGACAAATCAAAGCTAAATCAGGGGTATTTACAACAACCACAAATTTAATCCAAAGTGGGTACTTAAATGCTCATATAGTTCTAAATTATGTTCCTTCCAGATGGTGAATTAATGTAATTTTAGCAGGAAGTGAAGTTGCACAAATACACAGTATTTAGAACACTCACTGATTTAATGTTTCTGTACCCACCAAGGCACAGATGTTGCTTATCATTTTTGTGCCAGTTGTCTCTAGCTTTCCAGTTATTGCAAACGGAGGAAGAGAGTTTGCGAGGGCAAAAACGGGGCTGGGAATAACTTAAATTAGTAAAACTTAATTCAAATGTAAATGAATCTTTTCTGTCCTCCACCTATTTAACCTCCACAATAAAAATAATGGTGGCCTGTTTGTGGAATATCTTGTTATTATTTGCTCCTGTCACCATAATTTGGTTTCTAACTAAAATCTTTTAACCTGTAGAGCTGTCTCTGACTGACAATGTACATAGTTTCTTGTTGCATGCCTCTAAAGCAGTGATCAGAGGGAAAGCACAAGATAAATCTCTTGGCTTAAACAAAAATAAGTTCCTGGAAGGTTGGTGCAGCATCAGAATTGATTCCTTACTGCAGAACAGCTTGAATTTGTTGGGCATATTTCAAAAGCTCTTGCTTTTCCATGTCTTTTACTGCAAGGAGTAGACAACAAATATTATGTGCTGGGTGACAAAGATTTTTTTGGTGTGCTTCTGATGGGACATGTATTGAGCTATATTGTAGAAACTGTAAAGGGTAGATTCAGACTAGCTAGGAGGAAGACATTTTTTAAAATGGTTGTGGTGAAAGACTGGAACAGGTTGTCCAGAGAGGTGGTGGATGCCCCATCCCTGGAAACATTCAAGGTCAGCTTGGATGGGACTCTGAGCAACCTGATCTACTTGAAGATACCTCTGCTTATTGCGAGGGGGTTAGACTAGATGACCTTTAAAGGTCCCTTCCAACACAAACTATTATATAGCTTGGCAAAACAAGCCCAGGCAACACTACAGGCTTGGGGAAGAGTGCCTGGAAAGTTGCCTGGCAGAAAAGGACATAGGGGTGCTGGTTGACAGCTGGATGAACATGAGCCAGCAGTGTGCCCAGGTGGCGAAGAAAGCCAATGGCATCCTGGCCTGCATCAGAAATAATGTGGCCAGCAGGAGCAGAGAAGTGATAATTCTCTTATACTCGACACTGGTGAGGCCATACGAGATACACATCTACTGGGACTGCAAAGGAACTTTGCATTTCTAGACACTATTTGCGATAATGAGGCAGGATCAAGAAGATTGGCTTTGTATGTTTAATTATGTGTTGAAGACTCATGCAGTCTCCAAGAGGTGTTTCTCTGTTCACAAAGTAATAAAAATAGAGAATTATGAGATAGTAGTACTAAGAAAGTTATATTCAAGTTTTAGTTGGTTCGTATATACTAATATACTGCACAGCACTACAGGATTTTGTCCAATGCTTTCTATAGATAACAGATATACACTTTCCTTCTTTGCCTAGGGACTAAAAGGTGACCCTGGTAGTCCTGGTGTGGCTGGTCCTAAAGGAGAAAAGGTACTTTTTTATCTGTAAAGTTGTATGTATATGTGATTGTGCATGATATTTCTTCAATATTCAATACTTTACCTTAACTACATGGATCAAGCACTCCCGGTTGCCATTTGTGTAGCATAAGCATTGAAGAATATGAACACAGACTAACTGTAAATATGGAAGACAAATAGTCTTTATCAAAACAAATTTTGAAAGGAATTCAGAGCAGGAGCCTAAATCCATGGTTCTAAATTGCTCTCTGGGTGCTCTGATTTGCTTCCATGAACTGAACCTTGAAATCCTCACAGCACAATTCATATCTCAGTGATGTAATTCTATGAACATTTTACACAGTCGAATGTCTTTACATGTCTGAGCTGTCACACTGACCACAGTGGCCACCTTGTGCATGTAACCTGCAGCTTGTATTTTAACATATACAAATGTGTTTTGAGGATTGGTTTTTTTTAAGCTATGATCCATTTATGCAGAGATGTGCCTTTTTCTTCTTCTTTTTTTTTTTCCTTCATTTAACCTGCCGTGAACTATATGTAAATCTACACCATTACTGAAAAAGAATATTGCTTTTCTTATATGTTTTCATAATGTTTTCAGAGCATATTTGATGATTATAGTGAATTTACTTCTGCAGTGGTGTGTGTCCTCTAAAATGCCTAGAGGTTAAAAATGTATAACTAAAGAAACTCCTGAATTATTTACTCTCCTGTTTTAATTAGGGAGAAGCAGGACCACCAGGACCAACTGCCTTGAGTGTAAGTATGCATTAAAAAAAAAACACAAACAGATGAAAGCAAAGTTGCAGGTTTTAGCTTATTTGCAATGTAAATACTTTTTTGGTATTAAATTGAAGAGCCATGTCCCACTCTTTGGAATGCCTCTACATTTTCTGCATTAATTGTGAAGCAGGGAAAAGGGAATTTTATAAATATAAAGAAAATACACGTATTTAGAAGGATGTCCCTGCATTGGTACATCCACTGATGGTCTTCTTCACACTTTTTAAAAGGAAATATTTAAATTTTAGGAAAGTAAACATGAGTCTTCAGAGGAATTTTAGTAACAAATGTACTGAACTTTCTTTTTTAGTAGCTGCTAACTGAGAGAAGAGACAAGAGTGAGTGTGAATTGATTTAGCATCTTGAAGACAGATTACAAGGCTATGAGAAAATA